GAGACAGATGAGCAGAAAAAAGGACACAGATGAGCAGAGAAAGGAACAAAGATGAGCAGAGAAAGAAACAAAGATGAGCAGAGAAATTGACACAGATGAGCAGAGAAAGAAACAAAGATGAGCAGAGAAGGAGACACAGATTAGCAGAGAAAAGGACACAGATGAGCAGAGAAAAGGACACAGATGAGCAGAGAAAGGGTTTCAAATGAGAAGAGAAAGAGACACAGATGAGCAGACAAATGGACACAGATGAGCAGAGAAATGGACACAGATGAGCAGAGAAATTGACACAGATGAGCAGAGAAAGAAACAAAGATGAGCAGAGTAAGGAACACGGATGAGCAGAGAAAGGAACACAAACAATGGTAAAAATGATTTTTCACCGTGCTTCACAAGATGTACACTTGTATTCACTTTCAGACATTAAACTTACTCCGGCTTGTAAGTCCTGCTTCTCTGGACAGCCTCCGTTCATTTGTGTGCGTAGGTGGCGCTCTTCCACTAAAGACGTCGACATGCGGGTGGCTTTGCATAGGTTCGGCAGATATGCATGTGTTGTGCATGAACATGGGATTCTGTATGAAAAAATAAACGAGTTACGGTCTTGATCTTGATCTCAATAACAGCCCGATGCATCGCTCCTATAAGCTGTCCTCTCTGACGATGACGCGCCACTATAGACATAAATTGGCTTCATTTGTTTTGATCTGTGTTTGTCCATCAATATACTTTTCGAGATTTACTGTATTCTGGACGCAGTCTTCATGACCAAACATATGTGAACAATATTGCATATACGTCATTTTGACGCCTCGTCACTATAGACTTATAAGACTTTTGTAATCGCAAGTAAGGGGTAAACATAGAAATCTAGTAGGAGCAGTAACATACCATAGAACCTGTTTCCATATGCGAACCATCTGGATTGAGTTGCATATTGTGAGGCCCGGTTGGCACACACTGCATTCTGGGTTCCATTTGCATGTTGCGGGATCCAATTGGTCCATACAGCACTCGGGGGTCTATTTGCATATTGCGGGGTCCAGCCGGACAATACTGCATTATGGGATTCAATTGCATATCGCGAGGCCCAGTTGATCTGTGCTGCATTTGTGGGTCCCTATGAATATTGTGGGACCCATTTGGTGCATACTGCATCTGAGCATCCAATTGCATACTATTCCGAGGACCATGTTGTTTCATTTCATATTCACCTTTCGTATTCTTTCTCGCACCTTTCTCCGTCTCAGTGTTTGCCTTTGTCTTCGCGTCAGAGGTACCGTCATCTTCACCGCGCTCCGCGTAACGCAATCCCCTGTTCGCTCTAGCTGCCTTTTCTTTTCTCTTTTGCTGTATTTTTCGCGCCAGTTCCGGGGGCATTCGAGTCATGCGACGCACAACCAATCTCATCCCAACAACTGATCCCAACACCATGAAAAAGGCCGCCATGGAGAGAACGATAATCATAACTAATTTCTCAGTGTCTAGGTTAAAAAAGAAAACGAAAAAATCGATAATTAATTTTATTAAATTAAATCTACTTCAGTATAAACCCATACACTAACATTTCAATGCAATGTTCAGCAAGATCGTGAATGCTATCCACCAAACTCGTTACTCTCGACAATCTACTAAAACAAACTACATGCATCTGAGATTTTATTTTAGTAGGCGGCAGCGTGTTGAGTGTTTGATAATTTAATGTAATTCCAAACTCTTTGCATCAACAAATTAGTTGATACTTGTATACAGAGAAGAAAATCGTTTTAAAAATTCAACAAATAAACTGCTCTCTGATTGGTCTGACTGTTCGGGCTGAGTATCCAATCAGACAGAATCTTGCCTTAGCTTTGCATTAAATTATAGTCAATGCTTTACAAAAAATCGCAACTTACAGTATGTAGTAAAAAAAATATCAGATTACTCTCCCGCATAATGAAAATAGAATGATCGCCACAATAAACAGCGTATATAAATTAGATGGTACGTGTGCTTACGTATCGCTTAGATAATACTAGTATTATCTACGGGTATTCGCGGTACCATATGATGCGCGCCACCAACGGCCCTATAGTTATAGTTTTCGAGACTGTCGCACCATCATGGATTCAAGTCGAGCAGGAAGTTATACGATGTAAGAAATATAAAAGAGTATATAAGTATGTTTGTATAATCAGTCGCGTGTTCCTAAAATTACTAATTGAATTCCGAGTCAAATGTCCTCGTATATTTCATGCACATATTACTGTTGATGCCTCGCAAAGGCTAAAACACATTCAATGTGCAAACAATATACGGCGTTGAACATAAACCAGTTCAGGAACGGAATAATCAATATAACTACACCCCCTACATGCAAAATCTATACTATCCCACACGTGCCCGGCAGCCCCGAGGTTTCGACAAATTTCAGGTCTGCAAGCTATAGTCACACTTACCGTTTCCTCCCACTCCTTCTGTTGGTTCTTCTAGGGAACCTAGAGGGAGACAGAACATGGGGATTGGCTAGTCAAAGACATTCACATAAATATAATATAAATATGAGATAAGAATGTTCGTGCCCCACCCGAAGGTTACGCTACTGAAATGCCGCAATTATAATACACACTAGAATGGACGATAATGTTGTTTCCCTTATTAATAAATGAATGTATGTACATGTATTTATGAATGTATGACTTCCTCTATTGTCGTCTAACTTTCCAGTAATCATGAAACACTTCACATCTTCCTTCTTTCCTGGTGAAACATTATATCATTTGTTGCGGATTTAATATCACGTGGTATGTTGCATGGTCAGGGTACGTCATGAATCCCGCCATCTTGTCCGTATTGTTCATAGTCGTGTGTTTGTGTATGGCGTTATCTAACTAGAATATTCGAATCGTGTAATGTTCACGCGCTCAGTAAATCTTGTCATTCTACCTGTATTTCACCGGGGATTCCATAACAGTTGTTTTACTCTGGTGTCTCGGGCGATTACTTACCAGGCTCAACGAAATCTGTTTCCATTTCATAAAAGACTATACCGATCCCACTTCCATCCGTGCCACTATTAATTTCCTCCTCCAGCAGCGATCTTAGGAACATATCGAGCTCTTCTTCCGTGAAGTTCGCACTATACTTATTTTCAACGCCAAATTGTACGAATATATCGATGGCATCACCGGCCTCGGTCGATACGTTATTGAGATTATCACTCGGCACGGATCGGCGATCCAATGATGATACAAGTCTGTAATTGAAATATTCAACCTAGTATTCATATCCATCGTTATTAGTAATGTATGGGGATACTGGTATTAATGTGATGCAAATACAAGTACATGTTATTGTAGTCCTTATTATTTTATTTATCAGCTACTGAAGGATTTAAAAAAAAATGAGGAAACAATTTGGCCCACCATCATAGCCTGGATACACTGTAGATAATTTGGGTTTATACTTACTCGTATCTTTCAATGTAGTAACATCGGATAGCGCCCTCAAGTTTATCTTTATTGAAAATGCGATCAAGCTGCAGATGGAAAAATCGGCGTTAAAGGGCGGTGGTCGTCGCGCTGTGCATGTGCGACATTTGTGTTGATAAACATTGATTTTCCCACAATCCAAAGCGCTCTTCTAATGGAAATCACAAGTATGAGGTTTGATCTGGGCGCGACTTGCACTAATATCGTCGGTGACTCCTTCGATAGCTTCCAATCACCTAAAAATACCTAATTAAAGCTTGGTAACGTCTCCGTTTGTACTCGTTGATCTGCGAAACAGTCAAAGTCGCCATCTTTATTTCGATAAGACTCATATATCTCGCGCATGCGTGACGCGGCGACTACCACCTTTTAATTATTGGTATAGCTGAAAAATATTCACAAAAACGCGTTCGTGCAAATATCGGAGTATACAAACTGGTAACTAACCGATTGACTGACGTTCGCACCAACGTTGTGAAAATAACACGCCAGTCTGTCTCTAAGTTCGTCTTTCCATTTCCAAGTAGTACGCGTCATTAGACTGAGGTGGACGGTGGTCTTCTTCGTGGGTGCCCGGTAACATGCTTTAGTGGCAGTGGTTCTAACGCATGGCGGTGGAGGCGGTGGTGGCGGTTCTGTCGTAATAGTCGTATGGATTGGCGTTGTTATCACTGGTAATGGCGTTGTCGTAGGGTCTGTAATATCACAAGTACATGTATGAATGTATTCAATGTGGGCATGGTAGCACATTTCCCACTAGTACTGTTATCACCCAAATATTAATCTTATCCATACTTTATAAATTATTTTAGTTCCTCTGCAATGTTTCAATTATTAGCCATAATTCAGTTAAGTTATCACGGCCGACGGTGATTTGTAGTGCTCGCACGATAAGAACCGCAACACATCAACAACAAATAGCGCCTTCTAACGACTGTACTCACAGGTAATTACCGCCATATATCGGGGGCAGGGTCCCCTGAACATGAAAATCATTACATAGGACAATACATACTAAGAAATCTACTACTATGCAAAAATTAAGATTGATTATATCAGTATTCGGCCGTGTTTAGACCAAAAGATTCGTTCTGATGATTAGCGCGCGTGATTTCAACTCGATTTGTTTCTAGTTCTACCGCCGAATGACAAATTATAATATACTAACGCTGAAACTAACAACACTTATTGTAGTATTTTATAACTATGTGTAGAAATGTGACTAATATCTACCTTGATATTCACAATAATAATCCAACATTGCCTCTTGTTGTGGGTTCACCTTAGTTGAGTTCAGATTCGTTCTCAAAATCCCGCATTGGAAGGCGTGCGTAAGTTCCATTTCACTGACACCTCCGGATTTGAGGACCGGTATGATTACATCGGCTTTGATGTCGTCTACACCGTCAGTTTGTACGAGCCTGTGAGTAATAGAGAAAGAAAAGTGCGAAGAAAAAGCGTGAGAACAGATGATTGTTGAGAGACAGTGCTTGTGTTATCATGAAAGGTTCGAGGGATTTTCATAGGTTATTGTGCATCCTAATACTGCCGATATGTACCGATATGGGGCGCTAGATTAGTACAGGTTCGATGAATATAAAATAAATGATGTCAGATGCGAATTTTTGCGATATAAAAAGGAAGGTCTAATAGGCATGATTCTGACACACGCGCAGAGCAATATGCCGTTGTCTACAACCACAGAAATATTTTTCAAAAAATACAAAGGACGGAGTAACAGTAAATAAAGTGAACATGACGTAATGAAGTGTAATATAGTTCAAACAAGTGAGAGGTCAAATGTCGATTTCCTGCTACTTTTTAGGGGGGATGTCAATCAATGAGGGCGCCACAATTATTTGTCATAAATAATGCAAGCAATTGTCAACAGAGTTCAAACACATTTGTTTACCGGAAACCTGTTATCTCCATACATGGAATATAGTCTCGTGCCTGACTGGCGTTGAAGACAGCGTGGAGCTAAAAGAAAAAAAAACAGCCTATTGAAATATAAGTATATAATAGGTATTGATTTTTTTCAGTGTATTGTGTATCAAATGCAATGTTCAATTCGTCTCGGATAGCAGAGTGGGACATTAAAGTCAGCGCTCAATGTTTTGGTGATTCATCGGGAAAAATATTGTGTTTCTATAATTACTTAAATTAATGAAGCCCCGTATGATCTGTGGTACTCCCCATTGGTGCGCATCTCGTGAAACAATAGAAAACGAGAAATACATAATTAATACAACATTGTTTTGTATTTGACGTGTGCTTGATAAGCCAGGATCATCAGTAATAACGCATAGATAATGTATCAATATATTCACCAATTGTACGCTCTGGGCGAGCACCCTAGCACACTCTAAAACGACCTAGCACGGATTAAAGCATATTTGTTACTTGTTAATATTAGTGCCACGTACACCCTCGAATCAAAACAGATATGTTATATTGGTCACGGTCACTTACATTGAGAGAAGCAGCTTTACAATACGACAATCAATGATAAGAAAATGTTATGCTTGAGAATATTGTACAACACGTGCTATAGGCCGTCCACTTGTTTACGTTTTATGCGCGTACGCATGCGCAGTGACTGATAAGCAAGAAACAGTCGTTCGCACCCGAATATAAAATAACGGCGTTGTTCGCTACTGTTTATGAGTATACATGTATTTGTCCCAGTTGATAAAACAACTCATAAACGTCGTTATAACATCATATCGCGAGCTAATGTTGATCAGTGTTATCAGACAGTCGCATGCTAGTTGACGTCACAGTGACGTCACACTGCGACGGCCTATAGAAATAAATAAAAATAATCGCATCTGTGAAAGTGTCGTCTTCGAATTAATTACGTCATTAAACCTATTATTCGGAGTGTGTACGTGCATGTATGAAACATTTTCCTCGCCGATTAGATAAAAACAATCATTGTTGTAAAGGTGAGCAAAATGCCCTCCCATGAAACAGATGACACTCCACTGTGTAATATTTAGGGTGAGTAGTCAGTCAGTACCTAATGTAATTCAGTGAGTTATTTAATAATTGGTGTAAAAATACGTGAGGCGGTATATTTGAATATATATGTGTAAACAACATTGAATTGCTTGTCTGGTTTGGTGCACACAAATGTGTTGCCTAATATTTATTTGGGGTCCTAAGTTATGTTTGTTTGTGTGTCGATGAACACACGAAATGAAGACGTACTGTATATGGCAATAGATTATTGTAAAAATAAATAAATTCTTATTACATCCAGTTCCAGTGTTAGTTTTGTTATTTTTTTCGTTACAGACTGAGTCTCCGGAACTAAAAAAAAAAACTTACGATGTTAGAGACCTTCACGGCTTCGTTGTTAAACAGACACGACGACGAGTCCTCGAGGTCCTCGTTCCAGACGATATTTTCGAAACTGATGCTCGATTCTGATCTAAAGTAGTCTTCTTGTGAAGGAAATTCCTCACATATGTGAGAGGGCGTCTTGAATATACATGCCGCCGTAGTTGTGGGAGGTCTCGCTGTTGTTGGCACTGAAAACAACAGTCATAATAAGTACGGCAACAGTCACGTGACACCGCAATAATTAATAAATATTAATTCTGTGTCAAAATATGTAGAAATATGAGAAAGGTGCGCTAAGGAACTCTTACCCTATATTGTTGCTTTTATCTAACATGAAGCATGGTGTGTAAACATACCCAATATATCTGAATGGTGTTATATTTGTTTCCCGTTTAGTGTATTTGATTTGTTTTCTATAGCCGTAATATGTTTGGTTTGTAAACATGGTGGATAATATAACGTGCATATGTACGTGTAATGAACAAGCAAATCTGCGTTGCCCGTAACAAAGTTCGAGTAAGTAATCTTAATTTCAGTAAGCACTTAATTGAAAACTGATCGAGTCAAATTTTGGGCGTAAATTTACACAAAAAAGTGAACGTGGTTTCTTAAAATAAAGGCGCCGTAACTCGATGTTCTTAACTCTAGCAATTCAGTTTTTCATAATATGCATACCAAGTGAAGTACGTCACAGGTCACATGCCACCAGTTAGCCTATCAGCGTTCTCATGGTTGCTGTTAGTCAATGGGGTTTCTTTCATCGCGTTTTTTTCTGAAACGCGATGTATGAGGGCGTACTCCAATTACGACACATGTTAGACTTATATGTGCAGCTTTGTTTATTGAAAAGTACCGATGACCCCGTGGATCTGGGCAACTCTCATTTGGACGCTTCCAAACTGGCTGCATTTCTGAGAATATTGAAGGTAGAAAGACTGACAGATCTGTTGTTTTATTTACATCCATTTTGTAGGAGTTTGAGCCGGCTAACACGCCAGAATTCTATAACATACATGTGGTTTCAACAAATTAAAACAATATTTTGATCTTTTCAGCCCTTGTTCTTGGAGAAATTTACCCAAACGCTAACAATGTCGTTTATGGAGTTCAAATTAGTAGTATGAGACCCATGTGCGAACGGTAACTGAATAAATGCACTCACACGTTACAGTCAGTTTAGCCTTCTGTGAAACTTTGTGATCGGTCGCAGCGTCATCACCGTGCCCCGAAATTATACACATATAGTCACCGGCATCGTCAGCATTTACTGCACGCAGTCTCAAATTGTAGTCGATACCTTCTCGCGGACTTTCAACGCTAATATCGGACGTGTTCGCTAAAACAGCATTCTCCAAACTCAAGATGACGAGGTCGCCAGTCAGGTTCTGAAAAGCCCATGTTAGTTGTCCCGATTTAGCGCCGACTGCGCACTCAAAATATGCCTCTTCGTTCAATCTAACAGTGACGTCACTTGGTTCAATCAGAAAGTACTGATCGACTACTGGAACAAAAACATAGTCATGCGACATGGTGAGACAAACAAGTTATATTACTGAATGATATTGAAAATGAAATGATCATTTTATTCGCGCATGCTCTGCACAAAGCATGTTTAAGAACTCTTCAAGTCCAGCCCGGTGGTGCGACATTTCTATTTTAATAAGTTTGTTTGTTTGTTCGTTTTTTTAAATAGATATGCAACGCCTATGCAAGTATATATATATCATCGATGTTTTAAGCCAAATTTTAAACTATCAAATCCTGGTTACCATAGTAACCCGGTTTTCGCCATTTATACACTTGCATTATTTTATGTTTAACTTTATTGAAAAGCACCAAAAACAAACAAGAGACAGAGACTGTATGGAATTCTAAAATCTGAAGAAATTAGTTGCAACTGTAACTCGGGTAATACGAAAGACAACAAAATACAATTTGTGATCACTAAAATTATTCGAAATCTGGATAAAGGTTATATCATTTAAACAATACCAAAAAACTGAAACACCCGTATCATAATATTTTTTCGTTACCCACATTGACCCTACTATAAATTATTGTTAATATACTGATTAACCGCGGCGGTCACGGTATCTTCGACGTTTACTATGACTTCTGTTTTCCTTTCAATACAGTGTAAGTTGCGACACAAAATATGTGAACAGAGTATAGTGGTTTACCTGGCGTCGATGTATCAGTTGATGACTGTCCAGTTATCCCTTTAAAGTTAAAAAAAAAAAGTTTGTCTTTTAATTGATACATACAGGATGAATATATATTTATAAATAAATAAATAGTAAACAACAAAGTATTATACAGATATAGGAGATGTGGTCCAAGTCACTGTCTTTAAGATGTGCGAAATAGTCTTACGTCATCATCATAGTACTGACTGGTCGGCCTACCAGAGACATGATATTCTAGTTGACTTTGAGTGGTAAGAAACTTATAAAGTAACAGAGTGTAGATTTTATAATTCGGCTGAATTGTTTGTGAAAATTTTGATCGTACAACTACGACAACGACAACAATAACAATGAATATTTCATTTGACATGAATGAAAGAAGATTTGACAGAGTAACGCTAGACCAGGCTCAGCGACACCAACACCTATAAATTGCCCCTTGTACACAACGGTACATCACACACCCTTACCGTGGAAAGACAAGACAAGTGTTAATAAAATCCAACCCATTTTATAAGGATAAATCGGAGATGGCCCCGTCGCACCATAAATAACGCACCCTTCTTACAAGAAGGTCCAGTTGGTTAAACTATTCAAAATGGACGAGGGGGAAATTGACAATATCTTTAACAATGAGATCATGCACGTTATTATAATAAGTATTGAAACTCTTCTAGGTGGGGTTATCTTATTTTTAGGGAGTGGACGCAAATAAAGTAGTCTTTGTGTCATTGTGAATAGATACCAATACAAAAGCGCTATCTTCCTCAACTGGTTTTTACTATAATTAGTTCCTAATAGGCTAAACAGCCAATTTTATTTTTCAACTACAATATCCTGTTCATAACACGAATTGACACAATATTATATTCAAAGTGCGTCCAAATTCCTATAAATAATAAGAAGTTGACATAACCCATAAAGGGTGAAACCAAAACGGTGATTTTTTATTTATGTATTGAATTTTAGTGTTGTGCCGAAGGACATTGTGCTGGATTCTTACTCAGCTGTTGTCACAACAAACGTGTATGTGCAAACTGTAATTGTAAGTACTGATCGCACATACGTTGTATGTTGGAACTAAAAAAAAATCGTCCTGTGACTAGTGCATGTTTAAGCTAATTAATACGATTGTTATACATGTAATTCATTTCAGCGGACTTGTCTCATGTTTTATTCCGTTTATAACCCAGGTCCTCGGCGACACGACTTAGACGTGGCTATTTGCAGTGAAATTGCATTTTGAATATTCAAGCTATAATGTTCCAGCTAACTACATCTATGTATTACCTTGAAGGTAACTCAAAAGAAACGAGTGTATGTTAGTTGAGCCACCACAGTTGAACTAATTACAGATAAGCTAAAATAATATGTTAGCAAACAAGACATGTGCAGTATTCTGTAAAATGATGTTGTTCATTTGGCGTATCTCGCTAACACCCCACCATCGTTTGTAAAGTTTGTACAAGTGACCTTAAACTTATTAACAATCAGAAACTCTTTTCCTTCACAGAGTATGATTGTTACTATTAATGAAGCACTCATATATATTTACTTTGA